CTTACAGAACTCTGCCTAATAAGTAAATTCAAATAACACGGGAATTCAGTTATTCTGGGAAACCTTCACGGTTTTAGTCAGGCATTTAGACTTTACAATTTCATTACTACAGTGGTTTTAAACCTTTGTTCTAAAATTACCGTAACAAAGCACTAAACTTGTAGATCATCATTTGAAATAGGGTATTCTGGGTACTTAGTAACAGCAACTAAAGACAATGCAATTATTGTTTATACGGTCAGTATTATTCCAAAGTGAAGTAGACGTTAGTGTATCATGATCTAAATTTTACTAAAAGCAAAGAAGGTAATATAACTCCCAGCATATTGTACTTAAATGCAGTTGTTAGTCTGTGAGTTATGTAGCTTTTGACTGTTCCTGAAAATAGAAAACAGTCATTTACAACTGGGAAAGGATGCCAAGAAAGAGAGAGACCAGTAAATCTGCTTAACACCTCAGTTTTGTCCTTCTGAGAAAAACTAATGGAACATGGAAAAAACCTTGTCTGTGGATATTAACATATTCAAGGCAAAAATAATAGTGTTACTATTTTAACAATTGATCAAAAACCATACTTTGTGTTCAACGCAGTGATTTCGAGTGACCATGCGTACTACCTTAAGTCAATTTTAGAGTGTGAAACAGAGTGTAATTGGTTCTATATTCCTTTGGTGCAACAAGTCTGCAACCCATGGTATTTGTATACATTATTTCAGAAATAGTGTCTGCATTAAATTTTTGTTTCTGTGAAAAGTACTGGCTGTTGTTGTCAGCTGTTGAATAAAATTGCAGATGGTTCCTTTTTTACACCCACTTGCTTTACTCCTTAGATTTATTTTCTTATCTCAAGGTCTGAGTTGTGAGATATAACTTTGCAAGGAATTCTTTTGAGAGCTGAAAAAAGTCTATTGATTTATTGGCAACAAGGGCTGTAGCCCCTGCATTGACATTTCTCATCAGAGCTGAGTGTAACTGAGCCCGTGTACTTATTTCTGAGGCTGGAAACATTATTATTATTATTATTATTATTATTATGAAGACTGGAATTCTAATGGCTTATTTCTATGTTTAGTCATGACACATCGTATCACAATTATCTTATCTAAGTTTTCTCTAACTTTTTTGGCTTAAAAACATTTCATAGAAGTAAATTATATAGAATTAGAATTGCCACAGGAAGCTACTGTATCTTCATAGCTCTGTGGAGATATTACATGAACTAACTGCAAGCACAACATGTATTCTTATGTTCCTTTAAATAGAAATATATTGTTTTGGTATGAAACTTATTAAAGCCTTATTCGTGCTTGTATTTGACTATTTAACAGAGATGTGTCATGCTTATATTCCAAAAAGACATCTATTCTCAGGGCCCCTGTAGAAATGTTTACAAGTCCCTGGGGTAAATTACCCTATGGGCTTTCTAGTGATGTAAATGAGACTGCAATGATTCCCAATACTCATTAAAGAGTAACTGTAGCATATTTGTGGTTAAGTCACTGTGTAAAGTTACTGGTGCCAGAAGAAAAAAAGTACCATCAACACTTTGACTAATGACAAGCTCTCATAGTCTGGGCCTATTCTCATGGCCTGGCAATCACAGAACTACCTCGCTTGAGAGGTTAGATAAGAAATCTGTCAGATGAGAGTTCTCCTTTTGACACATACTCCACAAATTAGTTGTAGTGTGTGCCCTTGTCGATCAATTAGAAAATAAAACCTCAGGCAGGCTGAGGCTGAATAAATATTCAGGCAGGCTATAAATGGACCACCAATCATTATCGGTACTCATTATTGGTATGTTAGAAATATACCATACAAAAACATCCCTAAAAAAGATTGGGGCTGTTTTCAGATATTCATTTCTTCATGTATGAAAAAATATCTAGTTTGTGAACTAGACACTGTACCACAGTAATAGAGCTCTAAGCTTGAAAATAGAAAACTTAGGAGTCAGGTCAATGTCAGTTACAGGTAACAGTAATTAATCACAGAATTCCAGAACTAATAGAAGGACCTGCAGATGTGATTGATCGTTCAAATATAAATGATACTCAGTTCCTAAACATTTTAGGGGGAGATATGGACGACCACTGTGACAAAAAGGAAATAAGGTGTTTTCATGTGTTTGCTTAGGATTTTTCCTCTGATTCTGACCTGTTTTTTCAAATATTAATATGACCAATAATACAAGTAGTTTTTCAAGACTTCCATGAATATGTTGTAATTTAACAGTGTATTTTCAATGAACTTCAAATGAAGTTCAAATAGTTCTTAAACAAGAGTTGGTATCATTGATCAAGAGTTAGTATCATCAAACTTGTATGAACAAAAAAAGTTACAGTAGTTAAGAGGCCCCATTTATACAGGCATTCAGCCAGCCAGCACTAGTATTTAATTTTATATTTAATGGTTTATAGCCCATTACATTTGTAAATTTAACTTAATAAATAAAATTATATGAAAAGAGTTTGTAAATTCATAGGTCAGGTTGCCATCTTGGTAATTTTGTTTCTAAAAAAGTAAATATTAATTTGACAATCACATTCATCCATTTCCTAACCAGTTTATCCAATACAGAGCTGATGGAGATGGCAGAGTCTAACTCGGCAAGCAGGTTACAGGTTAAGAATGTAGTAAAAAGAGTTAATGGGTTTACCTATAAACTTGTTTTCTGTGTATGCACGTGGGCTTTCTTGTGCACTGAAGGCAAATCATTACTGTAGTTTGTTGAGTGGTTTTCAGGAGGGAATGGATTTTTAGAGCAATACAGTTCTGCCTCTAGGAACATTTCAAGTTTCTAAGCATTTGTAAGCTTAAACAGTTGTGATGTTAATTGAAAACTTCAGAGGTTGAGGCAGACAGGATTTCACAATCTTCTTCTGCCAATACAGATTTTATGGATTTAACATATACGTATAAGCAAAATCACGCAAGATTAACGCACAATAAACCTACAGTACATAACAATTACAGAAAACTGACATTCTGACTGGAGGTGAGGTTTACGTTTCTGTTGTTCACTGTTGATATGGACCACATTGCATTTATTGCTTAAATTTTAGATTCTTGCCTTATTTTTAATTTAATTTTGTGTATATACTGTAGATGGTTTTGACTAGTGAGGCACTCACCTTTTTCTCTCCCAGAGTCTGGGCTGACATTGGCTGTTAACTGATGTCAGAGATATAAATATAACATCTTGCCCCATCTCTTTTCAAAAATGTTTAATATACTGTGCAGTAGCTCAAATTTGGTATCTTTCAAGAAAACCATTGTTACACAGGCGGCATGAGCAGTCGATGCAGGAGTAGGTGAGGTTTTAGAATTTGTAGTACCACCAGTATCATTCATACAAATTGTATGTACAGTAGTTTGTACTACATACTGTATGTAGTCCTACTTTTCAATTGTTCCTTATTATTGCTTAGAGTCCTTATCTTTATCCAGTTTTAAAGTTATCCATTAAATCAGTAATTTCCGAAGACTTGGAACAGCATGTCTGTGATCAGTTAAACAGGTGATTTGTTAATCTAAGTGATTTAGAGATCGTGTTTATCAAAAAGCAGAATGTCCTTCAGCCTCCAAGCACTAATGTTCTCTTAAACCTGTTGAACATACAACAGGTAGCCTAGGGTAATATACTATATAAGACCAACTGGACTGGATCTCTCTATTAATACAATTGGAGTGCCTTGATTTTGATAATTACACATAACAGTGCCCGAGTAAATGCATTTTGTACCGAAATGTTTCTTTATATTTTCTGAATTCTAGAATTAGAAGGTGGAACATATAAATTCTGTGCAGTTTTATAAACAGAACACAAAATACAGTAGGTGACATTAGGCATATAGTACACAGTAATGTAAAAAAGGCATTTTGCTTAATTCCACTACTTTCAATTTTTGTTTGTAAGGGAATGGCAATCTTCTACTAAGCTCTTAGCCATATATAATCAAGCAATCCACAATCCTAATATATCTGGATTTCTGCAGTACAAAAAGTAGACTTTTAGTTTTATGGATTTGATAGAGAAGGAATATTAATAATGAGGGATGCCTAGCAACAAGTCAATTCAATCTGTGCTGAGTTGGATTAGAAACTGCAACTCTTCATATTATGTATACTGTTTAGCATCCTTTGATTAAGAAATAGTATTATTAACCTTTACAGTTATTATAATAGAAAACAACAGTGGGAACTTTAAGTAGTTTATTGATGCATCCACACATAACATACAATGTACCTTCTGATTTCAGTATGTCTCAGATGCCTAAGTCTTTTGAATACAGTAGCAATGTATTTATTTTCATAAAAAACACTTAACTACTGTACATGGCCACTGTCACAGGTCGTCTTTAGCAAAAGCATCAAGGTACAAAATGTTTGTGGTTTTTATTACAGCTTGAGAGCTTGATAAATGGTGAGACTAGATTATTTTCATTACAAATTCATTTAGAATGTTAATTAAATTATGTATTACCATATATACATTTGATAGCTCATAAAAAGCATGTTAGTAAACTTGAAAATTCTTTCACTTACACTCACTTGCAAAATTAGTAGATATAATGTTTTGCCTCCTATTCACAGATTGAATTCTGTGTTTAATGTGTTGTATTAGTTAAGGTTTGGATCTGTTTGGGAATTAAATTGATATAATCTTGTTGGGTTGATATTGAAAGAACATTTGAAGAGACTGCTATCACCAAAATTACTTCTTGGAAAAGACTGTTACTGCTTTCATAAGGATTTCAACAGGATGGTGTTACTAGGTTACCAATCAACAGTCTGCGAAATCCTTCTTGTAATCCGCAAGCATAAGTCACTTCCAAATGGGTCAGATAGCCATCACTATGTTTGTTCAATAAAGAACAAATCTGTTTTTCCATGTATTTTTACCTCCCATAAATGAAGAAATGCTATTATATGACAGTCTGAAGGGGATGTACTGTATGTCAAGGTGCAATACCAAAGCATTCGAAATGACAAGAAAACATTTTACAGATATTTAACATTTATTAGATCACTTAATGTGACATCAGATGTTACATTTTTATCATTCATTTATAGAAACCATTTCCCTCCTTGTGTTTTCTAAAATCTTTGCAAACGTAATGAACGTACAGGTTCTATATATTTATAGTAGATATCTGAAAACATTTATAGGCAGACATGTTATGTACCATACTATTCAGTGTTTCTTTCTACTGACATAATCCCTATTGGACTGATTACAGATGCTAAGAATGTTTGTTCTGTTTGTATCTGAAAAACATGCACTACCGATTCAATTAACCTTTGTTAGAGATTAATAAAAGTTCAATACACTTAAAAATACCACCCTTACATCCAGTATACAGTATGTGCTTTTCCTGAATCTTCTTTGAAAACATCACTTCTCATACAAAATTGCAGCTATGTACTGTACAGCAAGGATACATTTTCCAGTGTCCCAAGACAGTAGTAGCACAACCATACTTTACTGCTCACAAGATGTGCCTAGTGCAAGTATAGTGTACTGCTCCATTATTGCCTTATGGGGCGGATTATCTAGTGACTCATTTGCTGTGCAATCTAAGAAATCATAGCAACTGTCCCACCATTTAAATGTGGAACAGGAGCCCGTTGAAGACCACTTGAATGTCCCCAGCACTGAATTTCAACTGAGGGTCATGACAAATTGATTTTATATCAGTAACAGAGCATACCATACATTTACTGTAACAATCATTATATTTAACGGCAGTTGTCTAAGACAATGCATTACTAAATATGACCATTCATGACCATGATGAAGTTAGCTGTGCTGTTTTTGTGACTATAAATATCATGTGCCCAGAATATTATGTATTGTACCTATGGGAATATGTCCAATGTTAAGTGATTGTTTTCCTAATGATGTGTATTTTAGAATACATTCAGTAGTATGAAACCCATAAATAAACTATTTGAATAGTACAGAGATTTTTTTGAAGCAGAGAAGCTTGACATGGTGCATTGCAGTTGAAATCCATAACAGCTTTTCACATAAGCCAACATTTTACATCGATGTGTTCTGCAGTGGGATTTGTCTATTCTGTCTGTGGATTTTGATTTTGTTTTCTGTGGTACACGAGCTTCATTCATGAAAAAATCCTGAAAAATCTTTTGGATGTAGTGAAAATAGAATTAAAATTAACCTTTTTTTTCTTGAATACAACAAAGGTAGACATGTCATCTATAAATATAATCCCATCTGCATACTGTCTCACAATGGATTCACTAGAACATGAACACAAACTAATGTTTAATACCTTCAATGGAAGTACCAAACTTTTTTCTTTTCAGAGCTATGGGCAGTAACATTTTTTTTCTCTGTTGTCCCAAGGTCACCTCTCAGAGCACTGCTGTAATGAGCATCCAAGTACAAGAGGTCAAACAAGAGGTCTCATATGTCCTTAATAATAAACTACTGCCTACAGTATATTAATCTGGGAATGAATTTGGTCCTTTTTTCTTCCCACATGACTTTCTGTTTTGCTACCCAATTAAACTCCCAGTGTTCTGCACTTGAGTGCACTGGTACATAGTATCCAAAAATAGACCAACCAGTGTCACTGGAATACTGACGGTGGTACAAGTGCTGGGATCTAATTGGTCCAAGTTGCCTCTGTCTCATCTGTTAGAAGCTCTGCAGCTGTGGACATATTAGAATTGGTGTTTTACATTTTTTATTGCTATTTTTCATTACAACTTCGAAACAGAAAAATATACTTTCATAGTATTCTTTAGATGTGGTGTGCCAAATCCTGATCCTGGAGACCAGTGTACCAATTATTTTTTGCTCCTAATAAGCTTTCACTTACATAAACATTTGAACCCTTATTTGACTCAAAAAGAGGATGAATTTAATCTGCTTGACTAGAATCAGCTCTTAAACAAACTGGAGATTGCCCTTTGTTTTCTAAATATAATAAATTTCCAAACCTTTGAGAAGACAATACAGTATAAATTTGCAGATATTCCAAACAAGCATCTCATTTGGTCCAACTAAGGCTTCAGTTAGCTAATTAAACCGAGCTGGAATGAAAATCTGCAAGTGTATAGTCCTTCAGCACAGGGTTGGGAACCCCCTACTCTAGACCACATATTGTAGATGGACAACTCCAGCCCAGAAAGGCTGTAGGGCCTTTTCATTTTTATTTCATACAATTTTAAACATTTAATTGAATAAGAAGTTAAATCACCTGTTTTATCTTATTTTAATCAATTCCAATTGAAAAGGACCTGTAAACTCTTTACTTTAGTTGCCCATTTCCAACCAAGCCAAATCTTTAGCCTACACTGCAGAGGCAGAAACTTGTCATGTTATCTTTACAAGAGTTTCCCCCTTGATGGATTTTTAAAACTGGCAAAACAGACACTTAACCAGACATTTTTTTCCCCGCTTACTTTCATAGACAATTTAACAACTGAATTACTCTGAAAAAGGGAAGCTATTATCTTTCAGTGTTACTGTGGGTTTTTGCAAAAGGTTGGAAGCCATAAACATCTGACCTCTTTTACAAAAAGTATCTTGTCAGAACTGTCTGTCAGAAGTCACTAAAATAAAGAATTGCTACTTCAGTCACTCGCAGATGTTATAGTAGTTTACTGAGCAACTTCAAAAATTTACCAGTAAAAATAATAACCCTTTTTTCGTTTAACTTCATTCAACTTGGGAACTATTTTTGTACCCAGCTGAATAACATGTATTCCATTTTCTTTCACGTCTGAAAGCCAGTTCCTTTCTCTAACAATGAAGTTATATATAACAGCACACAAGAGGCCAGAACTATACAGGTTTAGAAAAAAAAAAACACTTTGACATCCTTTAATAGATAAAACTTTTGTTTTGCATATATACCTTTGAGGTTTGAGTGGAAGATTCCGTTTGCAGACAACATGGAAATAACATTTTGTTCCTGTCCAATTAATATTACAGTAGCCTGAGGCTTCACTGCAACTGGGAATAACTGCCTAGGAAACAAATTCCAGTAACCTACATAAAACTAGAAAAGGTGATATTTCGAGCTCATACAGATCCTACTGGCAGAGGCTGCTTTAGGGAGTGTCTAAGCCACGTCACAATGTTTTTTACAAAACATTGGTCACCCTCTACAATAAAACAGTATTTTAGTTTAGCACATGAAATACAACCCCGGTATTTACTTTGTAAGAGGACTCATCAAGACACCTTTCTTGCACTCATTTTCCAAACTACCAAATATTTAAAGAAATCTCATACTTCATATCTTCAGAATATTGTGTATAAGTACTGCACTCAGGGCAAAAAATAAAAATTAACAGTATATTATTTAATGTAAGTATAGAGCTTAAAGATGTGATACTGTAAATGTCTGCGATGAACAAAAGGCTGATATAGATATTCTTGCAACAAAAAGAATGAACAGTGATTCAGGGATGGAACACAAGGTTAAACAAAGACGATCCACAGCTGCAGCTCTGATGCTTCACTGATGACACTCCTGAAGGCAGGGCAGGGCAGCTGAAACAACCAATCCTCCTTTAACTACCTTGGCAACATCTCCTCAAGATCAGCAACAACATAGGAAACAACCGCCCACACAGCAGAGCACAGGTTCATCTGTATAGGGTTTTGGACTGTCACTGTGTCTCCATCACTGTGGTGGAAATAAAAATATCTACTGCTGTCCACATGAAGGCTGGCACCTGAAAAACAGAAAAGAATGATTTTTGAAGATTCAAAGAAAGATTTGTTGTTGAACTTTGTGGAAATGAATGATTCTCATGAACAGAGTGAATGAGTCAGCGGTAATGGCTACTGGCTGGAAAATAAATGGTCATTCTGGGTAAATCCATTACAAAGCATTGGACTTTGAAATTTAAATGTTATCGATTGTGTTTGACAAAGAGCACAACAAAACTGGTTCAGTATTTTGTATGAGAAGAAAAATATCCCAAAACTTTAAGAAAGCAAAAATCAATAAGTGAATGCTCCATTTGTATTTTGTATTCTCTTACAAGCAAGAGATATGTTGCCCCAACCAAAGCCATGTCTTTTTAGTGATTATTTCCTTTGGTCCTTAATTGATATGGAAAACAAAAAGATTTTTCTGTGAAAGCATGTATATTTTTATCAAAATAAACTATGTAGATTTTAGATACTGAATAAAGTTTTTGGTGTAATTTAGTTTAATTGATTATTATTGACTTACATGTAGTGTACTTTCTCATGTTAACTTGAGTATTGCACAGGTATTAAATCACCACATTAGTGAGAGAGTTAACTGGACTCAAGTGATGAAGGTGGGTTAACACATTGAATGCAAAGCAGTATTAAAATAAAAACACATAAAAGAAACAAGATGCCCTGCTGAACTATAGTACTTTATAGCATGGCAACATGTTTTAGCCAAATACATTAATCTTGAGCAGGTACTTAAGTCGTCTATCCTGAGCAAACACCTCTAAAAAATAAGAGCTGATTTTGAGTTTACAGCCTAATTCCACTAGTGTTGCATGCACAATTATGTTTTTGTTTAACCAGATAATATAGAATACCATTTATAGTACCCCTTTAGGTCAATTCTAAACTAGCTCATAACAAACAGTTTAATGTAGGACAGAGGTACAACAGCAATGTGGTTGCAAGCAAGATGATATTTGTCCAAACGAGACAAAAATATTTGTTTCATATTTTAGATATTAAAATTATATTGTCAGATCGTGAACCATTGAATTGTGTGTCATTAAAGCTAGTCCAGGGTTGTATTTAAAAACAAATGAAAATGGTTTTGCGAGAAATTAATTTGTAATATTTTTTTTCCTTTTCTACGCAAAGTTTTGTTATTCTTCATACTTCACTTTCCAACTGAGCATCTGCTTGCAGTTAAGGCTTTTCATTTGGCTCAATAAAATCCGCTATACTTCCAAAGCGAAACACATTCCAGTGGCCCATCCACTACCAACTATTTCTTTGGCTGAAAACAAAAATCTTGTAGACGTTATTGATTTGCAACTTTTAAATTTTACCAGAGGGAGTCCTTGGTTCTGTAACTTTAGCTAACTTTTGATTTCTTAGTTAATAATTAAAAATCTAAAGTGCTATTGATGATAGGCCTCTGGGAAACTGTTTCTGCAGTGCAGATGTACTGTATCAAATATGTAATGGAACCAAATAACATTGTACTGTATATATCTTGAAGAAAAACTAACAACGCACAAATACCCGTCTTGGTGCCATGGTGGTGTAGTGGTTAGCGTTTCTGCTAGGATCTTGAGTTCAATTCCTGGGATGCTATCTAGGTGTGTCTTATGCGAGTTTGTCAACAGTATGTGTCCTGTGCTGCACTGGTTTCTTGTCCAGGGTGTATCCTGCCTTGCGCCACTTGCTGGCCAGGATAGACTCCTGCACCCCTGTGACCCAGTTAGAAACTGGACAGATGGATGGAAATTCTCCTGTGGCTGAAACAGTAATTATGATCCCACAGTTTTAAAAGTATACATGATGTTCTAACAGCAGGTTCGATGATTTAGTATTTCTTGTCCCCTGTTCTACCCTTTTGCAGTCATACATGTAACATTGTATAACCCATTTGTTCATCACAGATCAATGCAGTAAATTACACTTTGCATGATCAACAACATATGTTTTATTTTTTTACCAATCGTTGCACATGCAAGTGATCTCAATAACCTCCTAATCCAACCATTAAATTTGTTTTCACAGAAGTGAAACTCTTTTGTTTTAAAAAAACAAAAAATACAGTACAGCTCTGACTGCAGGAATAAGAAGTCCTGCTAGATGTTTTAATCAAATTTTAGCAGCAGAATGAAACAGGACAACTATGTATTTCAAATTCCCAATCTGGCAATGCCAGATTTCACAAGACCAGTTTTCCTGATGCTGTATAATATTCTGCTGTATATCCAAGTACCACAGACTGCTAATTTGTCACAAAAATACAATGGCAAAAGTAAACACTTGCCAAAAATATTTTAAAAAACTCAAACCCCTTACTGCGCAGCTGTGAAGGGATTTTCCAAATATATCCAAACTGGAAATAAATCCAAATTAGAACACAGGCCAAAGGAAGAGATACAGGGTCCTGATGCAAAATTCAAAAGAAGCACCCAGCTTTTTGGTGTGAAATGTACTGCTGTGTTTAGTGAAACGACCTGTCACTCAGTAAGAATTTGACCATTTAGAGATTTAGGGGAGGTTTATAGGTGTCCAGAGTTTTTTTCTTTTGTCTGTCTGCCTGTCAATCAAGTGAAGATCAAACACACTGTTATATGTTTGGGTCTTATAGCCTTGAAAGGTTAGTTTTGGAGCCATAATATCATAAAGAATCTAGCATTGCCTATAAAACCTCATGCAGAATTTTTGTTCTAGCATCAGTTTCAGATTTTTATCCAGAAAGAGTTCTGGGTTACTATTGTACTAAAAGTTGACTTTTGAAAAAAGAAAATGAACTGTATCTTTTGTTTTGTTTTTAGATATTTCTTTCTAGTTTGAGTACTGAATAAAACAAAAAATCTGTTGTTTCAAACTTGATTCCCAAAGGGTGACTTTGAATTCAAGCCCTCAACCAGGCCTGTACTGTCTACACTTTCCAAGCTAATGCAAGATGCTTAAGGGTACTGTACGTTTGGGTGAAAATAGGCTCTGGAGGGCTCAGTCCCTAAGAGCACAGGATCAAGTTGTATTCATAAGCTTCAGATTTTGTTATGTGTTTTTTGTTATATTCTTTTTGTCTAAAATAAATTCCCAAAGTACAGTGTCAATGAAAACATTGCCATATTTAGATGTACAGGTAGTTCTGGTTAACATGCTCTGTGAAATTGGGCAATAATGACATCATGTCTTGTGTGTAAAGTACATTGTAGAATTTATTGGCATTGTCACAATTATGCATTAGGTGTAAAAAACCCACTAATAAAGACTATTCATTAAGCTATTTCAAATCGTACATCAGGGCACCAAAAGGACATGCCATTGAAGATGTTACGACCCCAGGTGTCTGGGGGTAAAGGGGTGTAATATTTAGGATAATTCTTTTGGAAGCAGGTGGGTTTTGGTGAGGGACTAGGAAGTGTGATAAGGGTAAGGAACTAGAGTGGTGCCAAAGGAAAGAAACAAACAAAATGGAGCTGGCTAGGACAGTGAGGGAAATCTAATCTGACTACAAAAGAAAACCCGAAACACACGGTCTTCGGCGTCTTCAACACCCTAGCTAACCTGCACTGACCCATATGAAACCATACAAGACAAATGGCACTCATCCGTACTAAACTAGTGTACTAATACAAAATCAACTAAGTGTGTAAAGTGTACCCCAACAACCTAAACTAACCTTATATACAAAAGTTCACACAAAAACACAAGTGAACCAGGAATACAAATAAGGGAAAACAAGAGTAATCAACAGGAGCAGGGTACAAAAGAACACAAAAGTTGAACATATAACACTGGGGCAAGGTAATGGCAAAACAAGGATAAACACACAAACAAACAAAAGTACAAAGAAACTAATGTAAAACCAACAAAACAACAAAACCGAAGCTATACGAAAATACACAAACGCAAAGCAAAACAAACCAACAAACGAAGGCGAGGCGAAAACCCAAACGGGACCGAAGTCAAACGAAAGGCCTTTCCTTGCTGAAAACCTCCATGTTTTATGCTGAAAAAGATATGTTCTGATTGGCTGAGAGCTAATTGATGATGATGTCGTACTGAAAGTGTGGTGTAATGGTGGGCCAATGGAGAAGGGAGAACAATCAAGGGTTAGCAGTGTGGACATAACAGAAAAAACACACAGAACACACACTGGGATGTAACAGAAGATAATTCATGAAGGTATTTCAGACTATAGAGGTGATTATTTTTATTACATCATGCTTTACATCAGGTTTGTGACATCAGATTGTAAATTCACATTTGAGTATTATTGAACCAAGATAATACGTTATTTTTTAGTTCAAAGGAGCCTGTAGTTAAAATGAACAATGGATATGCAATCAAGAGACCCTGCATAACTTTATTAGAAGTCAGACATTCTGGACTCGTGAACTTTGGATTCAATCGTCCACATTGAGGTCATTTGACCCATCTTGTTCATTTAGTAGTTATCAGTTTATTGATTTATTCCAAGATTTTGATTATACCTCATAAAGAAGGTACTTTTATTTTTAATATAATCAGGCCATCTAATGTACTGTATTATGTCTTTTATTTTTATTCTACTGTACATCTGGTAGCAGTGGCATTGAAATCATTGTTTTTTGGTTAAGAATTAAGCCCACCCATATCTCACACAGCCTTTACTTATTGATTTATATAAAGTGTTTATAAATATTTAACAGATAGCTTAAGAGAGGAAGTAAAAGTGGCAAGTTCTTTTTATGGTGTTACATAAAGAATATTGAGCCAAAATTCAATTTTGTCAATGAAATGTATTGAGTTACACTCAAATACTGTATGTGCCCTATCAATTCTGTTAGTTTTAAAAATATGCTGTGAATATTTAGCCTTTGTTGTCTTGCAGCAATATTAAGTTTGTAACATTGCATTTCTTTCAGGCTGCCACTCAATTTAGAAAAGGTCAGATTCATTGCATAATTATTATAGGAATCCATCACAAAGTAATTGCTCTAAAATGCAAATGGTTTAATTAAGAACACCAATTACACGTTCTAACAGAAAA